TCAAATAGAAAACAAACACTTTTAAATATCTTATTTGATATTAAAGTCGATATGTTTTTTTCAAAATTTTATGATATCTTCAAATTTATATTTGATTCAAAAATAAAAACATTATCGTTTTTTCAATATCCCATAAAATCGTATTGTAACATCGACGAAGACAAAATAGACGAAACATTAAAATCGAGATATATCTCGCTGCATTACACGAATACCCTTCTAATTCATATTAATTAATTCTCAAACGACTTCAATCATTATTATACCAGGTATCAAAAATTAAAATAGTAAAAACTACGGTTCATGTTTTAGACACGTCATACCAATAATTAACATGAATGACACATAAGTGTTTTAGTCATTTGACGATTCGTACACTTTTTGTAATCATCTGAAAACCTTTGAAACTTGTGTGCACATCTATGTTGCTTCAATTTTTGTGTTAGCTTCCTTTGGGCAGCAGGTTTTTTAAGCGTATTATGAGATGTTAGCAAATATTTAAGTTATTTGAAAACCATATAAACATGATTTGTTAATTTATAAAAAAAAAATATCAAATAAAATTAATGATTAAAAAAATCTATAGCTTATTATTTTACTTGAACCAAAATTTATATGAATAATTTTTCTATTTAATTTATTATATAAATATATATATATATACACACACACATACATACATCAATACGAGAACTTCTTTTGAAAACTCTATAAATCATGAGATATTTGAAAACAAGTGCATTATATGTTGTTCTATATGAATTTTTTTTCATCTGTGATTAGAGTTTGATGTTGTGATGAACATATGTATTTCATAATGTGAACATTTTTTTATGTGTTTATAAAACAAAAAATACATATAAAACTTTTTCACATTGTAACCGAATACATATGAAACGAATATATTATGAAACAAATATATGTTAATCACATTTCATGGAATGGTTGGCTAAATGGTCAAGGCAGGTAATCTAAGGTTCTTTTGTATGTTATGATCATCATCTTTCTATTGCTGCTTTGTTAGGAGTTTTGTCTCTTGGGATTCTTTTCGGTTTTGCTCCTTTTCCTTTGGTCTCGGTTTTTTTGTCCTCTTGCTTTTGTTGGTTTAGTTATTGTTTATTCGCTTTTAATGTGGTTTCACAGCCATTTTTTCCGCCTTTGGTCTTGGTTCCCGCATCTTATGGACACCCCCTTCTTGTTCTTTTTTTTTTGTTTAATAGATTTCATTTTGCTGCTATTAAAAAATCAATACATTAAATACTATCTTCCGATGTAAAAAATCATATGAAACAAAATATTAAGTTAAAAGTTCTCACGAATTTCACAAAAATTAATCGATTAAACTCATATACTTTTTATTGTATGATACACAAATTGATTACTGTCACATCAAAAATTGATTCATTTAACAATATCCAGAGTTATTTTTTCAATTTTCCCCTAGATTTTTATTAATAATCATGGGGGATGAATATGTAAATTGTGGGTTAATTTGATTTCAGTTAAATCCCCAAAATCATGATCAAATTCTTTGTTAACCATTGTGTCGTTGTCTGTCACTCTCTTTCCCTTCTGTTTTGCGTTTCTTTCTTTATACACAAACATTCCAATGCTTAATTTATAGTTTTGCTTTCAATTGTGCCTTATTTATATCTTCTCTTTTCAATTTCTTTATATTTCAATTCCAATTCTAGGGTTATTGAATCTTCTGATTAATGCCCATTTTTTATCTGGGTATCGTTGTAATATAATGACTTATTCCCAGTTAAAGATTCCGACTCCGACTGAGGATTGCAAGGGTGATTATGAAATTTTGATTGAACGAGATAGGTTGGGTGGCGGTGGTGGTGGTGCTCTGCCATCGTCGTCTGGGAATTACAGTGGTGGCGGTGGTAGTATTTGGTCGTCAATTGGGCGGTGGGCAAAGCTTGTTTCTTTGGTTATTTTCCTGCTAGTTTTGGGTGTTTGTTTCAGTATATGGATCGTTCCCTTTTTCATGAATAAGGTACTTAATTAGTTTCCATAGATATTACATGCACTTATGATTATGAATATAAATAATGTACGACTTCCTAATGGATAACATAAATTATAGCTTATTCACACCTTTTAGTAGTGACTTTGTAATATAGAAAGTGACTTATTTAGTAAACTTATAAAAATATTTAATGCTAAAAACCAATTCTTTCCTTTCCAAGCATGTCTCTCCCAATTAAAGAATAAGCTTCTTCCATCCATAAACAAACCTCTCAAACAAAAATCTTCTCAATTTACACTGACAAATTAATCCATATAGACAGTTTTACCTATGACTTAATGAAAACCCAACCAAACACCCTCTTGACTTAATGGAAAACCAACAAAACAACTTCTCAGAAGGTGTTTGGTTGGTTTTCCATTAAATCATGTATGAATAAAGCTATCTGTATGGATTAATCTGTATGTATTGGAAATGTTTTTGTTTGGAATGGTGTTTTCATTGGACGGAATGAGCGTGTTTTTTAATTGAAAAAAGTAAGTTTGGGAAAAACTTGACTTTCCATATAAAGACCTATAGAAACTTACCGAATAAGTCACTTTCTATATCATTAAGATACTACCAAACAATCATGTATCATTGAACATATAAGTTGTGAGTTCCATTAAACTTATTAAGTTGCTAACAACCAGGTTCTAACTGGCCCGAACTCCTATAGGAAGTCATGGCACAATCTTATAAAAACGAATTTCTTGAAGAATTTTCTTAGTTTGGTATTTTTATATGCAACATGAATATTTGACACTCGAATCACAGGAGCTTATACCCATTTTGAATTGGGAGACCGCGACATTCACGAAGCCGATGCTAGCCGTTCTTTTATTCGCTTCGATGGCATTATTCCCTACCATCTTGTTACCATCTACACCTTCTATGTGGGTAACAGGAATGACTTTTGGTTATGGTTTTGGGTTCCTATTGATCATTAATGGTGTGGTTATTGGCACATCTCTTCCTTACTTCTTTGGTTCCCTATTTTACCACAAAATTGAAGTGAGTCTTTTCATATCATTACAAATCTTACTTTTCTTTCCATATTTCTTAATTTAATCCGGAATTTGTTTGTTATTTAGGAGTGCTTACAAAGGTTCCCAAAGAAAGCGTTGGTTTTGAGATTAGCAGGCGAAGGGGATTGGTTTAATCAATTTAAAGCGGTCGTGTTGTTAAGGGTCTCACCATTCCCATATATTATGTACAACTATTGTGCTGTGGCCACGGGTGTTAAATTCGGTCCTTACTTGTTGGGCACATTGGTCGGGATGGTTCCAGAAATTTTCATTGCAATGTACACGTAAGATTTCTCTTCGTTTGTCACTTTGAGCAGTTCAATTTGTTATTCCCATTATGTGAAAATATGTAGAACCCGACTAGATTATTCACTGAAAGAGCAAAAAAGTTCCAACATATAATGAGAAGAATTATTCTAAATGTAGCTGATGTGGGACTCTAACAAGTAACAAGTAACAAGTCCCCTCCAAAAGAGGCTATTTCAAGTGAGTTTGGCATGCAGACACGATAGAATACAATTGTTCAGCGGACAAGACAAAACAAATAAAATAACCAGTTTACTCTAATGAGTTGTTTATATAATTTATCGATTTTGATTAATTTATGTAATTCAACAATTTATAAAAAAAAAAAAATTTATAACAAAGTATGCCACTAAAAGGTTTTCCTCAAGACAATTAAAATGACACCAAAATATAAAAAGTTCATGTAGTTTCCAATCTTTATGTTTTTATTTTTTCTATATTGTTCTTTATTATTAATATTTACTAAATTATATAAATTAATCAAAATATAGAAACCATAGGGTAAAATAATATTTTAAGAAACATAAAATACAATAAATAAAATACGAAGAGAGATATATATTTGATGTTTTAGAAGAGAATTGAGTTTTATTTTTAGGTTATATTGGTAAAACAAGTTTGTTCCACCTTGTTCCATGGGTAAGGATGGAACACGCCTGTTTTTTTTTTTTTTGTTATACTCTATTCCTATCTATTCCATAAAACCAAACATGGAACAATAATCTTTGTTCTGTCATGTCCTGTGTATAAAACGTACCCTAAATGAACAGATTGCCCAGAGTATCAAGCCCCTAGAGTGTAGACATTGGCTTTGATAGAAATATGTGAAACCCTATTATATTACTTCAAAAAAGAGCCCTAAAGGAGACAAAAGAGGCTCCAAATGGTCCACATTTAACAGTTGTGAGACTGTAACAACAAAACGAATATTTTGGTTAAGGAATGAACATTTTTATTTGGTTCGAATTTGTGGTGATTTCAGGGGGATAGTGATTGGAACGTTGGCGGATGCTTCGAACGATGAACGGTCATTTTCTGCACCACAGATCATATGCACGGTGGTTGGGTTTGTTTTAACGGTGGTGACAACCATGGGAGTGACGGTTTATGCGAAGAGGCGGTTGAGTAAGTTGCAGAAGGAGGAACAACCATTGATGCAGTAAGAAACTGTGCATTCATCTGGCCATGAAGATAGAAAGTAATGGGCTGTTTACCAAATGCTTATCCGGTAAGCGTTTACCGGGTCAATTACCTTATTAAATGAACAGAACAAGTACCAAAAATCTTACTCAGTAACAACGATTGCAAGGACCGAGAGCCTTCCGCAATAAGTGAGACAGACGATTTTTATCCGGTTAGCACTTGCAGGGTAAATTGTTGCATGTGATGTTTTAATATAATAGAATCTTGTTCGACAAGGTAAATGAAATTGTATACTTTTACCGGTAGACATTTGTTGGATAATGGGACCTATGATTTCCTTAAAAACTTTGAATGTTGGGGTTTTCTTTAGATTGGGCAGATGATATGCAGCAGCTGAAAAAACTTTTTTAATTTCTAATTATATTTGTTTGAAAATAAAAGTTAAAAAAAATCTGTTGGTTTCTGAAGAGAAGATTAGAAGACATCATGTATATAAACGAAGTGTGTCATCTTTGGTTATTTTTATATAATTATTGATTTTTTTCTCCGATAATATTACCTGATAAAGTATGGAAAGTGACGGACTTTAAGAGTCTCTTTGTTAACGAGTTTAATGAGACTCATAACTTATTCGATCAGTTATATATGACTATTTGATATTGACTTAATAATATAAAAAACAATGTAAGCTTTAGGGGAGCTCTATGCAGAAACCAAATTCTTATTCCGAAACTCTCCCTCCCAATTAAAAAACATGCTCTTACGTCTATGAAACGTCCCCCAAACAAAAACTTTTTCAATCTATATAGATTAATCCATTTTTATTCATACAAGACTTGGGGGCGTTTACCAAATGTTTACCCGGTAAGTGCTTACCGGGTTACTTACCTATCAAATGGACATGACAAAGACCGATAATTTTACCCGATAAGAGCGATAACAATGATTGAGAGTCTTACTATGTAAGTAAGGGTAACAACTCTTATTGGATTAGTGCTTACCGGGTAATTTGTTGCATCGCTGCTGTTTTGATGAATTAGAATTTTATTTGATAAGGTAAAGTGGAAGTGTTTAGACTCTTATGACTTATCAGAGCGCTTACCGAGTAAATGACCTCTTAGGTTCTGTTTGTTAACAGTTTAATGAGCCTCACAACTTTTTGTTTAATTATATATGACTTTTTGGCTTTGATTTAATGATATAAAATATGAGTTATTCAGTAAAATTTTAAAGAAAATTTCAAGCCGGAAGTAAAGATTACATTTTGTTTTTTTCGTTTATGAAAAAAGGTCGTAGCAAATAGAAGCCTTAACAATCTATAAAGTAAAAACATGTTAATCCATAAGAACATTTTTAATGGAGAACTAACTGGGTGTTTGAGATTGCTTATTTGAAACAACTTATGTTTTTCTATAAAAGTTTTTATTAACTTATTATAAGTTAGAATACTTCTTATACCGATTTGACATTGGTATAAGCTTTTTATTCAAACACTCAAAAAGTGCTTATTACCGGTTCCAAGTCAGAATAAGTCAACAACTTATTTTTAATCGATCCCAAACACCCCTAAATCAACCACTTGAATCTCGATGCCTCCAAAACTTTCTATTTGATTACTCTAATCAGCCATTGAAAATTCGAATATTCTTCCGATTATGGCTTTGGAAATTTTCGTCTTCGCCTTCGAGATGGAGCGTCTTTGAAGAAATCAATGGCGCCTTATAGGTTACGGTGGTGGACGTAGTCCTCGATTGCGCATTGATCGAAGCTACGTGGTTCTCTCACTTTACAATGGAGGAATTCACTGCTGAAGTTCCTCAATCTGAAATCTGGTTTTATTCTTTTCAATGCTAATCTTATGCTTTGTTTTTCATACTTTTTTTAATGATTATGATGAATCATGATCTGCTTTTAGCTAATTTTGATACTTACGACCTTTATGGAGAAAAAATTCACTTTAAACAATCATTGAATCGACGTCAATCAAGGTCGATTAACGCAAATAGTTGAGGCCATATGATATGAACAGTGTATCAAAGGTACAGTAGAATTCTATATTTGCATTTGATGATAGATCGGAATCGTTCATACATTCATATGAAATCACAAACTATAAATGGCTTTACATTGCCTATAAGAATCGCTTCAATCGATTTTTGATTTGCTTTTATTCATTCTCGAGTGTGTTCTTATCTCCTGCACCGTTCTTCTTTATCGAGACCAACGATTGCTTTGCCCATCGCTTGAGATTTATAGGTTTTTTCTCTTTGATATGTCTTGTGTTGGTGATTGCAATGGCGAGATCATTAGGGAACAATGTTTGCCAAAAAAAGGCGTGGAGAAAGGTACACACAAAAAGGACAAACACCATGGTTGATGAGAGAAACGATAGAGTCAATGCAATCCCTTTGCTTTCGACACTAGGTACATATTCTGCATATTTGATTGCAGCAATCGAAATTGTAGTCATAGGGAAGGTGTAAGACCACCATGCTACTGAAAACCTGCATAATGTAGAATCATTGATTAATGACAACGATGAGATCTGGAGTAAACCCAAAAGAAAATGAAAAACTAAGGAATACTCTAGTACATCGTATACATATGTGCATACAAGTAATTAAAGTTGTTTTTTGGTTTTTATGTTTGCTTATGTATTACTTGTATGCACATGTGCATACCGGCCATATGAACGTTTATTACGTTATTCCTCCGTTCATTTTTTTTGCGCCTGACCTTAATGACAATAACTACAGTCATCGATGTATTTTATAACAGTCAAATACACGAAATAGCAACTTACTTTCACAAATTTTCTTATCATTGCACTTTCATTTATCCTTATCACAACAATATACTTTCAAATTATTTTAATACATTATAATTTGAAAAAATTACCAATTATAGCAATAGGTATATTTTGATTTGAAGTAAGAGGACATGACACATGTTACTTGGTTCCATTGCCATGTGATCATACACATGTAACATATTGTTGTATAATAAGAAGAGATGAAAGTATAAGAATATTTATAAAAGTAAATTGTTATTTCGAATTTGACACTATTTTAGAATCAAGAATTACCTGAATCCTAAGAAGAAATTGAGGCGAACCACTAGAGAAATATAGAGGAATAGTGCAATGAAGTAGCAAGTCCTTGCAGAACCATCAAATTCACCATAGATAGCCTCCCAAGCAATGCTAGCAGCCGATGGAGCTGCGATAAACATGGAATAAACCGGGTGTAGCTCCTTTGGCAGTGCTACACTCGTTGGCAATCTCTGATACAATGTCACAAAAAGAACCAGATAATGTGCGAACCCAATCGCCCAAAGAAACTTTCCTGCTTCATTCCATCCAACTTTCGCAGCCAGAACTGCCCCAACAAAGTTTCCCACAACTGATAAATGAGAAGAAGGGTTAGCCACTTTGCAAAGCCTTCTCTTCCCTCCTGAAAGCCACTGGCCATAGATCTTGAGCTCAAGAAGGAAATATGGAATCATGAAGGCACACCATAAGGCTGGGTGAAGAGGCTTTTGAGCTATCATTGGTGGAGCTCCTATGGCTAAGAACATGCAGACGACCCATGGCGCAAAGAAGAAGTTGATACGAACAGGGTGGAAGTATTCTCGTCTGATGGCTTCGAAGTAGAATATGCATTTGAGGAGGTAAGTGGTAGTGACACATACGAGGACCACTAAGGCTAAGATCCAAAGGACAAGGTTGATGTATGGTGGAATATGGAGAAACTTGGTGGCTGGGCTAATTGCAAGGCTGTTCCATAGGATTGCCTGGCTGCTCAGGCCTAGACACATACCGAAACAACCAATTGGGAATCGGAGAAGAAACGGCCACTGTTTGTCTTTGGGCAGAAGGATGTCTTCCGACTCCTGCAAGATCAAAGTTAGAAGAAATAGAAATTTATAGAGAGATTATGAGCGAGATGATGACCCTGTTTGTTAGCAGCTTAATGAGACTCACAACTTATTCGTTAACTATATATGATTTTTTGGTAGTGGCTTATTCAGTAAGCTTCTAGGGAGAGCTTTATGCAGAAAGCCAAAAAAAATTTCCAAACCTGTCCCTCCCAGTTAAAAAGTATGCTCATTTCATCTATGAAAAAACTCTCCCGAACAAAAACCTATCCAATCTATATAGAGAGAGTAATGCACACAAACATCTTTATCCATACAACTACTTAATGGAATGTACCTTGACTTGATCAAGTTCAGGTCCTGTAAGAGCAGCAAAGTATCTACCAGCAGGAACACTTTTATTAACAGATTCATCAAGAAGTCCAACACCCTCATCGGCATTCTTCTGAAACTGATCAACCCCACTTTCTTTTCTCAATGGCAACATGAAAGAATTCTGCTTTCCGAGAGTAGATTTCGTCCTGAACATATTAAACTCACCTCTCTTGCAATTAGTGTCGACTCCATGAGACGAACCAAACCCTCCAAAACTCCTACCACTTCGTGGAAGCGCTTTTATCTCATTCCGTGCTTCATTAAGCTTCGACACACCTGTTTCTAGCGAAACTTGCCTGCTGAAACCCCTATGAGCAGCAGTTCTTTTGCCTTCTCGAAGCTTGATCACCTGTGGCCGGTTTAATCGCTTCTCGTGTGGCTTTTCAGCCATTTTATGAGCTTGTTTTTCTTCTTCTTCTTGGTCCTCTTCCTCTTCTTCAGGAACTACTTCATGGATGTCAACAAAATGGATATTTGTTGGGTTTTGTTGGGAAGTTCGTTCTTTAACCATTTCTTGCTGCTTCAAAGTCTGATGAGAGACACTTTAAAAGCAATGCAAGTTATTGTTGAATTGTCTTAGTAATTAAGCGCTGTTTGCTTTTAGGCAATTTTGCTTGTTATATAGTTTCATAGCTTATACAGTTGGGGGTCACGGGAAGTGGTTAACATTGTGGTGAGTGTTTTGCATTGTCTTGATGGAAAGGTGGGGGCTTTTTGAAGGGGTATCTCGTGGGAGAAGAGAACTACCTTCAACAATTTCTTATAGAAATACAGGTCAAAACAACGTGGATCACTTTAAGCCTTTAACCTGCCTAATGTCTTTCAAGTAACAAAAGAAAAGACTTAGGAGTATATATATACACTTGGGATTATGTGTGACCATATTGTTTCTTGAAGACCCGTGAGACCACTAAAATAACACTAAACCTTCATAGCAAAAACATTGTGAAGATAAACCTTCACAGTGTTTTTCCTGTAAAGGTTCATTGTTTTTCACATCTTCACAATGAACTGTTGTGAAGTTTCAATGTTATTTTGTAGTCTCACGGATCTCAAAAAAATAGGTTGTTCTTACGTGAACCCAACACACATATATATAGGGAGAATCAAACGAAAATGCTAACTGTATGAAAAATACGAGAATGGTCAAATCAAATGTTATGTTACATTAACGGTCAAAAAAAGGTGTGCGGGCTTCTTTGGCCGCGTCTTGAGGTTGCCGGGCAAAGTCACGTGAATGACATGTGATTTTTTACGTGATGTTAGTGTAAAACCACATGTGATTCGACTATTTTCTTATTCTCATTAATAGGTACCGTTCTCATTTGAACCTCTCTGTCTCTCTCTATATAGAGGGTTAGGTTCAGGGGAAAACATAAAAAATGAAAAACTAAAGAACATTTTAGTAATCAATCATCGATAAGGTATGCACATGTGCATACAAGTAAATTGTTAGTAAGCACATGTGCATACAAGTAAATTGTTAGTAAGCACATGTGCATACAAGTAAATTGTTAGTAATTTTTCCAGTATGCACATGTGTATAACATGCACATGTGCATAGAAACTATGAAACATCTTAAATTACTCACAAATGAACGATTATTCTTCTCAGTTTTTCATTTTCTTGAGAGTTTTCCTCTAAACCTCACACTTTCTCTCTTTATATATATATATATATATATATATATATATATATATATATATAATCGTAACCTTAAAGATTAGTTGGAGGAGGATACCAAGAAGGAAGATTTAATATGAATTTTTGTTGAGTGGTCTTCAAATAAGAACAGGGTAATGGGGTTATGTGAGAGGAAAGGAGGTTAGAAATGAGGGCTATGCAAGTGAGGAATAGATATGAATAACAATCCAATGTCAAAGATTAGACACACACAAACATGTATCTAATCAGTTCATCCAAGATGCGTTTTGAACAGACCAATCCAATAACCATGGTTGAAAAATCCCAATCTGTTCAAAGCATTTTTAAAATTATAACTAAACCAAATTATTTATCGCAACATGTTAAAGCAAATTACAACTAAAACCAGCAAGTGAATGAAACTAGAAATCCATCGACTTGCTACATGGAGTTGGGTTGTTGCGGCTGATGTTAGTTTATATCAATTTGGTTGTAGGTTACCTCAGGTTGGGTCAGATAGGAATCCATAAAGAAATTGTCAAAAGAGGTTTTTATAAATGAAAGATGTGTTGAGGTGGTTGTAATGTGATAAAAATAAGAGTAAATTACATTTTTAGTCCCTGTTGTTTTTTAAAAACTATGTGATTTTCGTTTCTATGTTTTAGAAATTGCAGTTTTTGTCTCTATGATTCGTAATTTATTGCTATTTTCATCTTTATAATTTACAGTTTATTGTTTTTTGGTTATTGTGGTTTACAATTCTTTACTGTTTTGGTTCCTTGCATTTAAAGATAGGAATTAATCTTGTGGGACGAAAATAACAATAAATTGCAAACCATAAAGAAAATTACAATTTCTAAACCATAGTGCCGAAAATCGAAATTAGTGACACACCACAAGAACTAAAAGCATAATTTACACTAAAAATAATGAAAAATATAAGAGAAATTAACCTAAATAGGCAAATAGCCATCTTATCCAATTTTGTCCGTTGACCTTCAAGACTGACACCACAGCCATCTTTTGCTTGTGTGTTAGATTTTTTTTGACATATTCTGTGAAAAGAAAAATTACGTTCCCTAAGTGCAAAACCGCAACTTCCGGTGCCTCAGGCCAAATCCAAAACTGCAACTTGCAGTTTCCTTTTTTTGCAAGTATGGGTTTATAATTTTGCAACAAAGCGTGGACTTTATAAACTCATACATGCAAAAAAGAAGAAATTACAAGCTGCGGTTTTGGATTTGGCCAGCGACACCGTAAATTGTGGTCTTACATTCGGGGGACTTAACTTTTTTTCTACAAAATATGTCTGAAAAAGTCTGACACCGTAAGTAAAAGGTGGCTTACGATGTCAAACTTACGGGATTCCAGATTTTTTTGAAGAAAAAAAAGAATGAAGGCTATATTTAAAAAAAATATTCAGCATGGTCAGATAAGGTTAATTACTCAAAATATAAGGTTGTGGGAAGAAGTGGTGATGCTATTTTATGTGCTTCTCAATTCTGTATCCAAATGGCAACAGGTTTTGGTATTATTAGAATAAAGTGCAGAACAAGTATATACAAATTGGACCTGGTCATTAGTGTGATTGCCGTTGACAGCCGGTTCCCAAATTTCCACTTTTAGAAGGCTCAAGGATCATATAAATAATCAACAATCGTATCAAGTTTTCGTCAAAACAAACTCAGACAATTTAGAAGCCGATTTTTGGAAGAGTTTTATAGTTGTTTAAAGAAATCGTTTAAACTGATCATGTCTCGTGTATATGTCATCTTTATTGCAACACTTGTTGCTTTTGCAGCCTCAGTTTCAGCTACTGAATATATTGTTGGAGATGAAAGTGGTTGGACTCTTGACTTTGATTACCAAACTTGGGCACAGGGAAAACGGTTCTTTGTCGGAGATAAACTCGGTATGCAAGTTGACTTATTTCATTATTCCATAATATTAATATTGGCAATAGTATTTCATATGGTTTGTGAAGTTAATATTACTTGGTTGTTGAATGGTATCAACTAGATTTCATTTGTTTTTTGTTTTTTGTTTTTTGTTTTTTGTTTTTTGCAATTGTTATATCTGATCTTAATTGTTTAAGGTCACAGATTCCGATCTATTATCACATACACTTGAATTAAACACATTAAGAAATAAAACCCTTTTGTAAGAAAAAGAAAACTGAACACTAAAAGGAAACTTTGTCTATTGGATTTATGATAATTTTCTTGTTACAGTATTCAACTATCCATTGGGTAAACATAATGTCTTGAGAGTAAACGGAACCTCTTTCCAACAATGCATGATATCATCTTCTAATGATGCTTTGACAAATGGAAATGACGTGGTTACCCTTTTATCCCCCGGAAGAAAATGGTACATTTGTGGTGTTGGTAAGCATTGCGAGTTACGGAACATGAAGCTTGTAATCAATGTGGAGTCGATGTCTCCAGCTCCTAGCCCATCCACGACTTCAGGCTCAAGCAATTTGGTGATACCAAAAACTTACGGTTTTGTAGTTGCACTCATTGGAAGCCTTTTGATCTTTTTGGTTTAATATGTTGTAATTGACCTTAAAAATTGTCACTTGTTTCGATTATTTATGATTTTATTTTTATTTTTGGTGTTAGAAACGTGGTTCAACTTTTCTCTTAACCATAACTATATGCATTTTATCTATGTTTATTAAATTCAACTTTTTTTTATGCTTATCTTAATCTTTTAGTATAGGTTTCTTTTGAACCTATGATATTTTAAATGAAGATAAAACATATATAACAAATAAAACATCAGACAATTTTGTTTTGGTCTCGTATGCTTTCTTTTGTCATCTTTATTTTTCAATCAACCTGTTTACTACTATCTATTTTCAATTTAATAAATTTAATATTCCTTGATAAGTTGCTAAACAGATGAAATATTTCTCGTTAAGTCACATTATAAAGGTATCAATCATCGTATTTTACCTTAATAAACCGTTTTTTGGGGGCTAATGTGGTACATGAAAATTTGATAAAAAAAGAGAGCACTAAATTCACTTTTAAATGACAAAATTTCTGAAAAGTTCAGAAACGTCGTACGGTTTTTTTGCAATTCCTCGTCTACAATTTTGCAAGTACAACCCCTAAATTTTTTGTCTATGGATTTCTTTATACTTTATGGTAAAGGTTAGATTAATTGTATCTTTATATATTGTTAAGTGTATTTATATTTATAATTTTTTTTTCACATATATCAATATCCAGACATACTTTTTACATTCATAAATCACAATGCATGAATTGATTTGATTCTGACATAAAAATGGATGTAAATAGCATTTCCTGCAAAGCAAATCATGTCACACATTTTCTCATCATTTTACACACATTCACACATTTCGAGAGCAGGACATCTCTAACCCACTACTTAAAAAATAAAATGGAGGTCATGATTTTTACCTAGCGAGAGCATGTTTGAGGTAGATTAAAGGTCCGCAAAGTGGTCCAACACGTTTTAGGCTAATTTCACCTTTTCGGGGATTTTTAAAGTTCTTTTGTTGATTCGAGAGATTTTTAAGTTTTTTTGGTCGATTTCGAGATACGTTTTCTTTTTATTGATCTCGATGTACTTTTTTTGGTTGGTGTAACATATGCAAAAAATTACTGAATAAGACTATGATAGAAAAATAAATTTTTTAATGAGGCTCATCCCCATCTTTTACATATTAATCCGTCCCTATTTATTTATTAGAGGTATAAAATTCATGGCCTCTAAAAAATGTTAGTAATTGTCTTTCGAGTTTGTATTTAAACGGTGATTGACCGACATTTTAGCTTTGCAACTTTACAAAGGTAAATAAGAGTCCAAAATAACCTCAGTAGAAAGAAGCCACGCTCGTATAGTATACCACCAAAGTACTATTCTTGTTACTACAGTAAATATGAGCAGTCAAAACATATATGCAAACTATGCTTACTAACAAGAGTTGACCACCAAGGAGTTAAAGAAATTCCCACTTGAACAATTCAATCAATATATTAACATGTTTAGCATCTCAGCCCTTTTCTTTCGTGTACAAGAAACAAAGGGTTAATAGTTGGTACTTCACTCATGTCACCAACTTCCTAGGCTTGACTCATTCATATACAAAGCTTAAAAGAAAACTTGAAATAAGTTGCACCTATAGATCTAAACTTTAGGTACACCTAAATTCCTATCAACTATCATGCTTAAATAGTTGATCAAGTTGTTGAGGCTAAAAGTGAAATAGCTACGTCAAGGATAAAGAAAGTGTCATGATATGTGCACTCTTCTCTATTTGTTAAATGTATCATATTCTATTAATCTCCTCTTTACACTTATCAACATCAAACCCCTATTTTTACATTTTTAATGTATGATCCGATTTTATTTTAACCTAAAAAAGGTACATATAACAACTCCTAAAGCAAATAGGTTTGCTCTTAAACTAAGAAAAGAGGGTCAATAGTCCCCTTCCACTAATTTTCAACATGATTGAAGTTCCCATGTCCAAATGATGAACATGAACTGTGGAAGAGAATCTACGTAAAGCATCTACATTTGAACAGAGTACCAATTTAACCAGGTTGTGTATCATAAGTCACGAGAAGAAATAAACTATTTAAACCAAATATAAACATATATATATATATATACACACACACACATAAGTTCAGTTACCATCATTAGCACCCTAAAACATAGAATCATAGATTAAGCAAGAAACAAGCCCAGTTAAAGAGTTGGATTTACTTCACACAGGCTATCATAGTAGTTCCAGAAATAAAGATTCTTGAAGTAAGCTTGCTATGAAAGCATTGGATAAGATTCCTAAAGACATTGCCCACTAGCAAGGTCCTCCAAGTTACAGCCTGACAGGACAAATTCTTTTCTAAATTTGCAGCAACAAGAATTAATGAAACCAGGCATTATGAGAAACATTGTAACACTATGCCGATGGAGAACCAACTTAGTTATCAGTTTCTACAAATATTTAAGGGGATAGTATTATTCGATTGATCAATTCCCATGTATGATCACAAGTAGACTTGAATTGGAACTCACAATACAACAATCATTAAGAGGTTCGTATTCTATAGCATTACAACAAATTCATGTTCAATGAAATCAAGTAGGTAACTAATCTTTCTGCAAATAACTACAAGGCAATACCATTTCAAGAAGCTTTCAAGAAATTAGTATTCCAACTTCATGTTTTACTGATAACATGTAATGGTACAAACAGGGGAAGGCGAAAAGGAGAATGTTCTCTAAATGAATGGTATACAGTCATATCTCATCCTATACAATCTAATCATGGAATCTTCTTTTATTTTTATTTTTTCTTTCTTTATCCCTTTCTAAGTCTTCATTTAAAAATTCAGAATGAAATGAAATTAAATAGGCATCAAATGATCAAATGAACAAAGAAAGGAAGAAAGTGCACCAGTGAATTTTCTTTTTGGCTGTCAATGAACTGTGACTTTAGATCTTTTCCTTGCTTCGCTGTAAAGTACAACTCCCATTATCGTCACGGCGAAACCGGAAATTCCCATCACCGTCACCGGGTTTCTGAAAATCAATACAGACACCACGGCTGCAACAGCAGCCTTCGCGTTACCCAGAACCTGCAACGTCAGCGCACTTGTATGCTTCGTGACCAGAAAGTTCGTCAAGTTCACCAAATACGCCACTGTGGCATTTCCGATCAACAAAAACACCATAAACGAATCATCCTTCGCTTTCTCTAACGTCTTAGCGAATACATTTCCTTCTATATACAAAGTAAAAGGCAATAAAATCGCGGCCGCCATTGGCGCCATATACAACAAAAGGTTCATTGAATGGAGTTTCTCCGAATCTGACGTCAACAACAACCCTTGTACCACCGATTTCAACGCTCTGCCAGCCGTGGAGCCAACACACATCAAAAAACCAAACAAATGAAACAACGGTTCGCTGTTACTTGCCAAAACGATACCAAAAACAACCGGCATCAAAGCCAAGTATACCTCAGCAGATTCCTTCTTACAAGTGATCAGAAAAGCAAAGATCGCCGTGAAAAATGGCGTTGTTGCTCCAATAGCTTGGTTGAATGAAACTGGCAGGTATCTGAGTGAGGTATTTCCACAAACAACTGAGAAACAAAAAATTGCGGATAATGCTAATATTTTGAAGAACTGTTTTCGAGATAAAATCTGTTGGAAAGGCACGATCTGGAACCATCGTATTGCGATCAAGCTGTAGAAAGTACAAGAGATCATGTGAAGCATTGTGAGGAAGATCGGATATCTGAAACCATAGTAGCTGAGGAGATATTTGTTAAGCAGGAGGACGCCAATGTTGGATAAGTACCATGACGCGATGATCAGCGTAGTTAAGATGGTCGGAGAAACGATTGAAGTCACAGATAAGGCCGCGAAAATGTTGTTGCTGGTGCCGTAACGGACTTCACCGGTAGGTGTGATTGGGATGTCGACGGAAGTTTCTAGCCTAGGATTGCTGCTCCGGCGAGTGGTCCATGATTGAGCCTCTACCATTTGACGGTGTACCGGAATTTACACACACAGTGAAGCTTGCCGTATGTGTGTGCTAAGATTTGGATTGGATCTGGGGAAATGAGACTCTGTTCAGATCATAAGACAAGAAATTTCAAAACCTATCCTAAAGTTTAAAGATTATGCCATTTCACATCCCAAAGTTTTTTATATTTATTTAACAATGATTAAATTGATCAACAGTGAATTTTTCTCGTTTAAATTCACTTTTTAGCTACTTTTGACATCAAAAATCTATTTCAGTTAAAGTTTACACAAATGTTTTATGCATTTGCATAAATCTTATTTTTAGATTAAAAAAATTACACAAATTATTTACACAAATGAGGATCTTTACGAAAATGGGGATACTTACGAAAATTGTGTGAATATTTCTTATTCCTTGTTTAAATGTGAAAATAGGCTTTTCGCAAATGGGTAAGGCATTTGCGTAAACTATAACTAAAATGGAAATTTGATTGAAAAAATTGACTAAGAAGTGAATTTGGTTCAGAAAATTAGTTGTTTTGATCAGTTTTCCATTTAACAATGTACCAATAAGAAATAAGCAGATATCATCTAAAACTACTTAACATAAGAAAAACGAAACCGAGCAGTATCTTTATTTTTTGTATTCTTCTGCGTAACCCTTAACTTTATCAGACCCTAAGATATATGTTTAGATCAGTTTTATACTCAGTGAGTTTATGATCTATATTAAGCATCGTCAAAACATTTATAAGAAACAAAGAAATTTAGAATAATTACATCATAAAAATATGCATAGAAAATAAACGTCATTGAGATCTCAACATTGAGTAGTATGTGGGGCAAAATCGTTAATAACTTCAAATTTTCAAGTACAAAGATATAACTTTCCGATATGTATATTGGATCACATCATTCGAGTCAGTACAATCAAAGATAGGGTCATTCAGACTGTTCTTTTTTCAAGTTTTCAGAGTCCTTCATGTCTTGTCTGATAAAATTAAACCAACCATTCATTTGTCTCTTATTATTTTTAATGGAATTAAGCTTCTCTCACACATGGTGATACCAAACCCAACCACAAAACTAACTATAGCACTCCATTGTTTTATTTTCCTGTTTGTAACCAACAGCCCAACATATTTAAACTTGGTAGCACATATTCATCAAAAAGAAATCCATCAGCCCAATAGACTCAAATCACCAGCCCAAAAATAGTTAATATTCGGATTCGATGGCCAATCTAAACCGAATATTCTTTGGTCTATGACGGGCTTAACCACATTTTACATGTGTCAGATCTATTTACTTATTTTTGAAGGACATTTAAACTTTTTAGCTCAGCACCAATCAAGAACGCCCAAGGAATTACTTAGGGGCCGTTTACCAAACGCTAACCCGGGTAACCGCTGCTTACCAAGTCAAATTACCTCACCGGATGAATATGGTACGAACCAAGAATCTTACCCGGTAAGAGCGAGACATGGATCAAAAGTCTTACCCGGTAAGTGAGAGTGACGACTCTTACCGTGTAAACTATTACATACGATGTCATTTTGATGGACTAAAATCTTACCCTGTTAGTAAATAGTAGTGTTAAATTTTACCGGTAATCACTTACCGGATAAGTATTTGATAAACGGTTCCTTAGAATCAATTAGGAAGAGGTCGATGCTTACGTGAATTGCTTTTGTCCAAGTTACTTTTTTTTTTGTCTAACTCACTTCCTTTTTTTGTTAAATATAACTAATAAAAATAAAAAGATATGTAATAAAAATAGGATTCTATTCAATTGCTAATTTTATAATAACGATAAAGAATGTTAAAGAAATACTCTTTTTAATCCTTACTTGATGTGTAATATAAGATAATAATTATCTTTTTCTGGTTGATCCCAACATTCTCCACTTGTCCGACTGTTGCTACAACAATGGCTAAAGAGCCTAACATAGCTAGGTTGGGACCCATTATGGGACAAACAATGCATTACAAATGTACTGTCCGTAGGGTACATTGAATGTACAGAAAGAGGTATTCTTTTTTCCACTATAATTTTGAAAATGAAACGCAGTAAAACAAAGTGGGTAGCCAATCATGATTTAACCCAGAGACCAGGGTGCGTCACAACAGTGATGTTAGACTTCGTTGGCCAAATTGGGTCGATTTTTGACAAAATTAACTCGAAATAAACCACAAGGTCGTAAGTTATATTTATTAAAGCTAAAATTTATGGGTTTTATTGATGTTTTCGAGCAACGTCACTGCGGTTATGACTCGATTTTATACATTAAATAATCCTACTACTTCAAGCGAATCAACGATAACTTTTCTTCTTCTCGACCTTGAGCGTCTCAACTACGATGCTTGGAGGGAACTATTCATGACTCATTGCATTGGCTTCGATGTTGTCGATCATATATTTATGATACATATGATGCCCCGGCCACAAAACCCACCGACTCACATTGGATGAAACTTGATTCAATCGTCAAGTTGTGGATCTATGGAACTATCACTCAATCTTTGTTGCAGATGGTTATCCAAAAAGACTCTTCTGCTCGTCAAGTGTGGGTGAACCTTGAAACCCTTTTTCGTGTCAACAAGGACGCCAAAACAATTCAACTTGATAGCGAATTTTGCGTAACATCACCATGTGTGATCTCTCGGTAACCGATTATTGCACCAAAATCAAGACCATGGCTGATGTTCTTCAAAATATCACTCTCCCGTCTCTAATAAAAGCATAGTCACATACACGATTAATACCCTTCTTACATTTGAAATTACAATTCATAAGCATCTCCAACATATTCTCTTAAATGAAGAAAATGAAGATTTTAGACAATTTTTTACTCTAAAAGATTCTTCAAAACTTTCTCCAAATATAGAAAGTAGGAGAGATGGTGTAAATTTCTATAAATTTGAAAATTTTAAAAAAATGATTACCATGAAAAAGAAATGGTTTTCTATTTATATTGGAGCAATAAGTAACATTGAAAAAAAAATAGTATTTAATTAAATGTATGAAATCTATATTATATCATAAAACATTTGACAAAAATTCTTAAAAATCATTTTTTATGCATGAAATACTGTATATTGATGCATATTACTTAAAATTCAAGATTACAAATAAATTAT